CTGTCATGAAGGTCAAGCCTGCTGGGCAGCGTTTAGGAAGCAGCAGAAGCCCAGACTCCAAGAACAGGCAGTGGTTATGACGGCCTCTTGCCCTCAGCGCTGGTTTGCAAAAGTCCGCGGGTTTCTGCGTGACATCCTGAAAGGCAGCATCTCAGTGTCCCGAGGCTGCCATAGCTGAAGCATCACGAACTGGGTGCTAAAAGCAGCAGACATTTGTTTTCTCAGCCGGGTAGAGGCAGAAATCCCAAATCCAGGCGTCATCAGGGCTATACTTCCTCCTAACCTCTAGGGGGCGCCTGGTCTCCTCCATCCCCTGGTGGCTGCAGGCTTGTGACCACACTGATCCAACCTCTGCCTTCATCGTCACGTGGCCTCAACCTCTGTGTCTCCCTTTTGTGTGTTTTGTAAGGACGCTTGTCATTGGATGTAGGGCCCATCCTGATCTAGGCTGACCCTACCTCAATATCTTCAACTTAATCACATCTGTAAAGAGCCTTTCCCAAAGGTTATATTCGCAGGTTTCAAGGGTCAGAACGTGGACAAATTTTTTTTTTTCGGGGGGTGGGGGAGGGGTGGTACCATCAATGCATTACACCTGGTGAGACCCGGCCAGGGGTGCCGTCCCAGGTACCCTCCACCTACCTCTCTTCTGCGTGTTGGAAGCCTTGGGCTTCACCCCTGCCTGGCAAGGCAGAGGAGCCTGCATCGTGGCTAAATCCAGTGGAAATAACTTGGAACACTGGGGGAACTTTCATCCTGGCTCCCTCAAATAAGCTGCCTGACACCTCTGGGCTTGTGAAATGGTTTTGTTTGGACCTGCAAGTGTCATAAGTGTCTCCTTCCCAGGGAACTGGCTGTGTGACGTGGAAGGAAATCCCGAGACCCCCCTTAGCCCAACCTGTGGGCCCACAGCCAGTGCAGCCACATCCCCATTATCCTTCCTGGGAGCTCCAAGGCAGAAACAACCACCAAGCAGAAGAGACCCCCACCCCCAGCCTGCAGATTCCTAGGGTGGGCGCCGGCCCTCGGTGCCTGGGTAGTAGGTTGGTGATAGTGTGGCCTTGGAGCCACTTCCTCACTGTGCTGGGGGCCTCCGAGGCCCTCCTGTCCTCCTCAGCAGATGGTAACACCACCACGTGCAAGGCCTTCGTGGAACAGGCCTGGTCCATAGGAGATGTTGAGGAGGAGGGGTGGCTCACAGGTTGGGCACCGCCGTCTGGGGAGGGGACAGAAGAGTTCTAGCTCCTTCTAGCTCTGCCTCTGCCTGCAACTCCCTGCCCCTCTTGTCCTTTAGAATCTTTCTGGGGACCAGCAGATGGCATAATGGCTACATCACTGGACTCCCACATAGTCTACTGTGGCTTGAGTCTCAGACCAGACTGCTTAAAACTCATGCCAGGCTTGCGTGCATTCATGCCCCAAATCCTGAGAGGAGAATGGAGGAGAGGAAACTGCAGCATGGCCATTCCCCCGGGAGGCTGGTTTCCTGCTTTCTGTCTCTGACTCTCTCTGGTGAGCACATGCTCCCTATAACAAAAATCTCTCAAAAAGAAAAATCTCTCAGGGAAGAATGTGCAGGGAAAGGCTTCATGAGAGCTGGTGCCCACTCCCAGCTCACCGGGTCCCCTGCCAGCTGGGGAGGTCCAAGGGCCTGGCTGGAGAGGCAGATGGGGGCCTGCACAAGCCCTCTGTGAGACCGAGGGAGCAGCGCTGGGTAGGCCGAGCCTGGGTGGGAGATGGCTTGTCTTGAATGAGACATGGGCTCCACACATGGCTCTGTGATCCTGCAGCCTCTGGTGTCAGAACGGAGCAGACGTGAGGGCAGTCGAGATGCGTGCTGCCTGGCGGGGGCCTTGGACAGTAACCGTCCCGGCGCCTCCGTCTCCTCGTCTGGAAAGCTGGGCCCACCGCATTGTTCACCACGAAGGTCACTCGGCACGCGTGAACTGGGAGAAGCATGCGGCGAATGTTAGACGCACTATTGTTATTTTTCTCCTTCTGTTTCTTGTTTTGCAGTCTCACTGCAGGCGTACCAGTGGCTGGTTTGCTACCTGCTCCAAGAGAGTTATCGAAAGTTAGATCAAGAGAAAAGATCAGGAAGGAGCGACTTTGAAGCCAGAAACAACTGCCAGGTACATGTCTGTTTTCAGAGTTGCCTTCTGTGTTATTTGCTCCTAATTCCTCTGTTGTCCTAGCAACTGGAGCGTGTGGCTGTTGTGTCCTCAGTGGGACCAATGTCTGGCCAGGGGCAGGCCTCAACTTTGAGATCCTGGGACCCTGACGGGTTGCTTGACCTCTCTGCATCTCTGTAAGACTGGCAGGGGCACCTACCTAGCCAGGTTATGGAAGAGGTCATGCAGGTCATGCCTACAGAGCCTGGGAATCTGGCCCGTAGGCCAGAGCTGTGGTCAGTGGGGTTGAGGTGGGGTCATAAGGGCCTCAGCTATGCCGTGGGGACAGGGCCAGGTATGGGAACCTGGGAACACTCCCGCAGCCACCAGTGCAGGGGGCCATGCCTCGTGACGTGCCGCCATCACTCTCCGTGTGCTTTTTCTCAAGCCCTGCTGCGCTTACCAAGGGCCGTGGTGGGAGGGTGCACAGCAGCTCACAGCTGGCCTGGGAAAGTGCGTGGTGCTCTCCTCCGGGCAGGGCTGTCTCTCCAGCTCATGCTCTAGGCACTCTGGTGCTACAGCCCCTAATATAAAACACCACGCCATGCCCGAGGCTGGCCAGGGTGTCAGTCCAGCTCTGTCCCATGTGTCCGTGCTGACGGGTATGGTTTATGGAGGCTGTGGGTGAGGAAGGCTTGGGAAGCTTGCGAGATTGCTAGTGTTCCTTCCCAGCAGCGTTTACTGAGTTGCCTAGGAACCTGCTGGACACACCACCCCCCAGGGCAAGGGGTTAAAGGAAGAAGGATGGACTCCCTATTGATTGATCAATGAGTCCATTTAAATTTTTGCCAGAGGCTGTGTATTTTCACAAGGGAGAGACAAGGAAAAGGAGAACGTGCCATGGGGCATGGTTGTGCTGCAATCCCTTCTCTTCCACTTCTCTCTCCTTTTTCAGCATACACATATACACACCCAGCATGTTTCTCAAGCTGCTGGGTTTAGGACTTGAACCACAGGGCTAGCCATGTGGGATTCAGACACCTTAGTGACCAGGCCATGAAGCTGGCCTTTGGACCTCTGAGTTTTAAGGCTCCTACCATGCTTAGAATCAACCAAAATGCATTTATGACTTAAGAAAAAAATGTAGTTGGGGCAGTGGTGATACGACAGTGAGTCCACAGGGAAATGACCCCGGGCTCATGTCCTGGGACTGCCCAGAATGTGCGAGGCCCCGTGGCATGTGACACGGGATGCTGAGCCCAGAAGTGGACCGCCGCACAGGGGCCCTGTTGTGGTGACTGTTCCCCTGTACCTCTCCGGCTCTGTCCTCTATCTCATGTGAAGTAAATAAATCAACTTTAAAAGAAATAAAGAATTTTTTAAAAATGAAGTCAACGTCATATTCTCAGTTCAAGGCCGCAGAAACCCCAAGTTGAGCACTGACCTGACTTCTAGATGACCTGCTCCCAATTCCTCTGCTTTCCCCACCGTGCCTGGCCACAGGGGTAGGTCACTTGTAGACAGATGCCCACACGCCTCCTTGCCTTTTTCTATACGTCACATCACCGTTCTTGCAACAGAAACAGGGATAGTCCCGAGTTGTAAACCAAGCCCTGAAGAGATGGAGGACACAGAAGGCGCCCACTCCCAAGGGCACCCACGTCCCTAGAACTGCCCGGAAGGCCCCTGAAGCTGTGTCCCTACTGTCCTTTACCCCCTCCCTAATTCCAGCCACCATGTGTGCCATGTGACCCCAGCATCCTGAGTGTGTGACTCCATCAACTGAGAAATAATTCACCTTTAGATCTTTGTTGAAGAGCTTATGACTGCATTTCTGTGAGTCCATGGTAGAGAGGAGGGGCCCAGGGGTCCGTGCATTCCTGTTGCCAACTGCAGAACTAACAGGTACCGACAGGCACCGGCTGGCAGGGGCCTGGTATCGAACAGGAAGGTGGCTGTGAGGCCTCATAGGGAAGTCGTGACCAAAAGAGCTGGATTCTCCAGCCTGTTCTGGATCATGGGGCATCTAGAGTGAGCCCCAGGACTGAGCATTTATAGCCCCAGGCCCCGTTGAAGGCCTGGGGGAGATGCAGTGCACCCCATCTGGTGATGACAGCAGCAGCCCTGCCTGAGAAGGAGGCTCGGAGATGTTTACTTAGCCTCTGTGTGGACAAGCCCCCTTAAGTAAGACAGGAAGTGCAGCAGCTGGCGAGGAGAGGAAGCCATCAGATCTGACTGCAGGAAAGTTCACTGTGTCCGAACAGCAAGAGATTCTGTAAACAAAAGCAGACAGACGGTGGGCTGGAGAAGCACACGTAGCACGTGACTGACCAGGAACATCTCCAGGAGGGACATAGCCTTCCAGCTGGTGATGCCTGGCCTGAGGCAGCCCATGGTGGAGACCCAGAAGCAGGAGCCAGAGGCCAGTGGACTGAGCCGTGTGCCTGGGGGATTGATGGGGCTGGTGCTGGGCAGTCACTCCTCCATAGCAGAGGGTGTGAACGGCTGCTTGAAAACTGCTTACTGGGCCAGCAGGTGGCATGGAGGTCAAGGCACTATATCCCACATGGCCCACTGTGCAGTTCAAGTCCCTGACCTGGCAGCTTGAAAACCATGTCCAGAGGAGACGAGGAGATTGTGTGATGTTGTGGTGTGGCCCTCCCCCCCCCCGGGGGGTGACTTCTCTCTTCCCCCCCATCTTTCTCTGGCAAGTGCATGTGTTACCCCCGGGGGGTGACTTCTCACTCCCCCCATCTTTCTCTGGCAAGTGCATGTGTTCTATAGCAAAAAAAGAAAGTCTGCTTACTCTGACCTAGTGGAGAAGTTCATGAACTTTTCCTTTGCCTTACTTCTAGTGGAGAAGTTCATGAACTTTTCCTTTGCCTGCTCCTGCCATTTACTGCTCACCAACTGTAAGCAGGGCACGTAGGTTCATTTTAAGAAATGCATTTTTCACTGGGGCTAGCAGATGGCAAAGTGGTTAAGGCACTGGATTCCCACTTGGTTAACCATGATTCAAGCCTCAGACCTGGCAGCTTGACACTCAAGCCAGGCATGTATGCCCAAAATCCCGAGAGAAGAATGGAGGAGAAGGGACTGCAGCATGGCCATCCCCCCCCCAGGGGGAGGGGTGATTTCTCACTTACTGTCTCCGCCTGTCTCTCTCTGTGTCTCTGGCAAGCACACGTGTCCTATAGCAAAAATCTCTATTAAAAAATAAAAAAGGAGGGGCCAGCTGGTGGCATAATGGTTACGGTGCTGGACCACATGGTCAACTGCGGTCTGAGTCCCAGACCTGATGCCTTGAAACTCATGCCAGGCACATATACATACATGCCCCAAATCCTGACAGGATGGAGGGGAAGGGAGTGTGGTGTGGCCATCACCCTGGGGCATACTTTCTTCCTTTCTGCCTCTCTGTCTTTCTTTGTCTCCCTGGTGAGCGCACATGCCCTACAGCAAAACAAACAAACATACAAACAAACTCTCCAAAAAAAGAAAGGAAGGAAGAGAAAAGAGAAATGCCTGCTCCTGTGTTAAAGTCTAGTCATTATAGACAGGTGGGTGTGACATCTCCCCTCTCCCTCCAGTCTGGCCCTCCCCGCCCTTGGAAACAGCCTTCTTACAGAGCAGCTCAGGCTTCCCTGGAGGTTTATGCACCAGGAAGAAGTCAAGGACCATCTTTCCCTGCTCAGGCCACAATTAGGCCCTTTATAAGTGTCACTTTGTGTCATCTGCTTTGAGAGTTAGGAAATGAGGGTGAGAGGAATGACCCAGGCCCCTGACTCAACTATGCTGGGCCAAGATTAAATCGAGGTCCACTGCCCGGAGAGCCCAGCCTGCCCCTCTGTGTGGCGCGGCTGGTGTCTGGGGTTTGTTTTTGCCGATAGTACCCATTACCTCTGAAAATGCAGCTGTCCTCAGAAATTAGCATACAGCGGACTTTGGTTTCTCACTTCTGTTCTTGGGGCTGGAGGTCTGTGGGCTTGAGGTCATGAGAGAGGGCGGCCTGGTCTTGGCTGGCTTGGGCTTTGAATGCCCTTTCTTGCGTGTGTCCCTGGGCTCACTGCTGCAGAGTGACCACTGACCTTCAGCTGTATTGAGTTCAAGCAGAGCTTCCTTCCAGCCCTGCCTGGGGACAGTCAGGTAGTGTGGCCCTGGAGGAGACTGCTCTGCGGCAGAGCCCTAACCGCACTGCCCTGGCCATGATGGGGCAGCTTTGGGGGACAGCGGGGCTCCCAGACCAGTTTGTGGGTGCCACAAGCCCACCCAGCCTGAGGCCTAGCATGTGTGGCAAATGGCTTCATGTGACATCCTCAAGCCTTAGTATGGCTTTTCAAGCCGCTAGGTCCAGGACCTGAACTGCGGGCAGCCATGTGGGGCTCCAGCGCCTTAAGCACCCTGCTACTCGTTGGCCCCTCAAGATGTATTTTTAAAGTCCGTTTACTGATTTCTTTCATGCCAGGCTGCAGACCTCCCCCCAGCCTTTCCTCCTCCCAGGATCATGGGCACACCTGGCATGCTTAGGTTGACCCAGGACCCAAACCCAGGGCTGCCCTCGTGTCCCCATCTTCACACAGTGGTACCTGTACCTCCTGCAACACCATGATGGGGCCAGGATGCATTTTTTACTGTGCAGGTTTCAGGTGGGGCTGCCTTTCCAGGCCCACCACTAACCTGTCTAACCTATGACATAGCTGACATTGAAGTGTGCTACTTTCACAGAAAAATAAGCTAAAACAGGATGACTTTAAAACTGTTGGGTCATCAGAAAAATCATGACACAGTTTTCTGTGCAAAAATGCAACATGACTTAGGACCGCCCAGTAGAGTCCACGTGGTTGAAAGCAAGGGTGAGAAGAGCAGGGAGCAGTTCTGAGAAGAGGCCTCTCTGGGACCAGCCTGCTCTCTGGGCCGACAGAGGGCCTGTCATGAGAGGCGAGGCCTTTGTGATGTGAGTGCACGTCCCGTGGGTGTGGGTGGGACTCCATGGAAGCACTGTGCTCTCCTGGCGGACATGGGCCAAGTGCTGTCTCCTTCCCTTGGTTTGAGGGAGAACAGGGCAGTGCCTGGCACAGGGGCAGCACTCACTGCTGGCTGCATCGTCAAGGGGTGGGTGGCCGAGGGCCCACGCTCACCTCCACCTGGCAGAGCTCTCGGGTCCACAGTGCACTCTCCTCCTCCCTAGCACAAGGCCAGGTCCTGCCACAGTCCTCACCAAAGATGTACGCTGTGATGTGAGAGCAGGGGAGGGCAGAGCTTGGACGGTAGGGAGTGGGATGTGGCCCTCCTCGCACCAGAGGACGGCCTAGTCTGAAGTGTGTGTGGTGCAGACAAGGGTCTCAGGGCTGGACCAGTGAGAACTGGCACCAGGAGAGGGTGAAGGCATCTTCTCGTCTGTGTTGTCCCGAGGCTCCTCACACCATCAGCCCTGTAACTAGATCGGCATTGGCTCTTCAAGTCCAGGCCAGCCCTCAACAGAAGTGGTGTCCCCTCTTTGGTCAGGCACTTGGGCTTGTGCACTGCCTGCCTGCTGTGCTACTGTGTGCCCCATGCCGTTGTGTCTTGGCTAAGACTCGGAGGCACTGTCGAGTGCCAGGCAGTCAACCAGGGATCCCAAGGCAGGACCTTCCCCAACCTCAACCACGCTAGATTGGATTCTTAATCTCAAGAGTAGTCCATGCTCAACCAACAAGTCAAAAAACACATGCTTTGTTCTAACTTAGGAAAGAATATCTGGCAAAATGGTAAATTGGACATGGATGGAGAAAGAAAAGCTAATAAATTAGAGAACTAGTAGTCATCAGCCAATGTTTGGATATTGGTTAAAATAGGAAATCTCAGGGTTGAGTAATCTGCTAAGGCGCGCTGGTCTTGCAAGCCAGGCCAGCACCAGGACCCGAGGCGTTGCACAGAGTTAGCTGGAGAGGTGTCCTGTCTCGGTCTGTCTCCTGTATTTCTGGACCTCGTAGTGAGCAGGAGGGAGAAACGGTTCCTTAGAGACCTTGCAGTAAATCCCTGTGGCCGTATATCAGGACAGCCATCCCTGGGAGCAGCTCCCTGTCCCCTCTGGGCGCCCTGTCTGGAGGTCCCGGGTACAGAAGAGGATAACTCCTGTTCCCCTTGGGGGCCCACCTGCTGATGGACCCCACACATGGTAGCAACCGCCGCATTCCCGAGTTGTCCTGGTCCCCTGTGCCACTGAGTCCCAGATGAGAAGTGGCCCAGAGCACCTGAATGGCACAGCCTGCTCCAGCCCAGGTTTGTCTTCGCACCGGCCTCTTCCACTGTGCCATGCCTCAGCCATGCACTGCCTCGCCTCACCTTCCTGGTCTTCATCTCCAGTTCTTTCTTCCGCTGTAAAATCCGAGGTGCAGCTGAGGCCCTGCTGCCTTCTCACGATGTGGCTCTGCTCTGTCCTCAGGTGTTCCGCTGCCGCCCCCTGGCCCTGGCCTTCCTGGAGCTCACGGTGGTGCACAGGTTCCACGAGCACACGCATGGCCCCAGCGTGCCGCCCTCGCTGCGGGGCGTGCTTGGGCGGCTCAGCGCGCTGTACGCCCTGTGGTCTCTGAGCCGGCACACGGCTGTGCTCTACCAAGGTGAGGCTCCTGCCACGGGGCTTGCCTGCTGCCCCGGGAACCGCCCTGCGAATGGGGCTCCCCTCTGTATCTGAGAGGAAGCCCCGCCTCCCCGCTGTGGATTGCCATCACAGGGATTTAGCACCTACCGCGCTGGGGAGGCTATGACAAATCCAGGTCTGTAGCGAGACAAGCATGAGGGCAAAGAAGCGTCACCATGACAACACGCCATTTTCCCATCATCCAGTCAGTTTCCATTTCGGTTCAGAGAGTATTTCTAGAAGGCCCACTCTTGCCAGGCAGTGGCTGGGTCCCAGAGAGAGCTGAGCTACCCCCACCCCAGCTCACACCCTCAGGCTGCCAGGGGACACCCCCAGGAATACCTCAGCTGGGAACCTGGCAAGTTCCTGGAGGAGCAGCTACCTGGGCTGATTCCTGGAAGACTGGTAGGAATAGGGTTAAATCTCAACTTTCCCCCTAAGCCCCTAAGGAGGCTTTTTCCCCATTCACCCTCCTACCCCTGGCCATGCCCCACGAAACTTCACGGCTACAGATTTCTCGTGTATCTGTTCATACACCGCGTTTAAACCTTCTGAAAAGTGAGATCCCTCCACCACCAGGAGCCGACTTTTACTTGCTTGGGAGCAATGTTGCCCCATGGAGGCCTTGAGCATGCACAGGTTAACAGAGCAAAGCACGCAGGTCGAGCTTGGGGCAGGGGCAGGGCAGGGGCTGGGCAGGAGCACACTTGCCATCTGAGAAAAGTTTGGACATGAGACAGTGACCAGAGACAGTCCTCTTCAGTAAAAACCACCACAAAGCAGATTCTGCCACAAGTGTGTTCCCGAAGGCTCAAGGCCCGTCCCTTTTCCGTGAGACCCCATAGGAAAGCTTCTGTGGCTGGAGGTGACACTGAGGGTGAGCACCCGGCCCAGTCCCCAGCGGCTTCAGATGGCCTCATGTCCCCACGTGCTGAGGGTGAGCACCCGGCCCAGTCCCCAGCAGCTTCAGATGGCCTCATGTCTCCACATGCTGCAGCTCTCTGCTGGGGCTCCCAGCCCGACTCTCCCACTGGTGGTGGGACCAGGCACCCCCTGCCGCAGCGCCTCCTGCTGGCGCACGTGTGCTTTGCTCCGCCTGAAGCCCCTTCCCCTCTCCCCTCTGGAAGGGGCAAGCCTGGCCTCCCTGCAAACCCCAAGCCTTCTTCCAGCTCCCGCTGGTATGACCCTCAGGGCTCTGCCTCCCTCCCTGCCTCTCACCCAGGCCCATGTCCTGGTTCTGTGTCCCAGCCCCTGGCCCAGTGACAGAGTGGGACAAGGCTCTCAGAACCCAGCCCTGAGCCAGATGTCCTTCTGAAGGGCCACAGCTTGGCTGGAGGCAGTGGCAGGGACACACTGACAACTTCACATAAAGCAGGCCTCCCAGAGGACTCCTTGGAAGCCGTCTTCAGGGCTTGCTGCTGTCTGGGGTACATTGGACTCCAGACACCGGGTCTGTGTAACCAAGGCTGTGCTTACAGGTGGATACTTCTCGGGCACGCAAGCAGGTGCAATGATGGAGCAGGCCATGCTGGACCTGTGCTCGCAGGTGCGTTGCTGTCTCCGTTCTGTTAGTTGTACCCTATACACACTCACTGAAGTTAGTACTCACCCACCTGTGCATCCTCCTCCTTCATAGCCATTTAGCATTTAGTAAAAATAACAAAGTCATAAAGATGACACACTTGTGCCATAAGTCTTAGCAAAAAAATTACTTTTTTTTTTGGAGAGGTTTTTGCTATAGGGCATGTGCGCTCATCAGAAAGACAGAGACAGACAGAGACAGAAAGCGAGAAATCGCCCCCCAGAGGGGATGGCCACGCCACAATCCCTTCTCCGCTATTCTCCTCTTGGGATCTTGTGCATACAGGCACATGTGCCCAGCGTGAGTTTAAGCCACCAGGCCCAGGACTCGAGCCGTGGTCAACTACATGGGAGTCCAGCGACATAGCCATTACGCCAACTGCTGGTCCCGCAAAAACATTACTTTCAGGGGACGTCTCAGGATCCTCTTTCCAATTGCTCACTCTAATGCACTTTTTACAGCTATGCTGAAGACTCGAGCACTTCAGTTTACCCAGTTTCTAACTTAATGGGTTGTGAAGAAAGTCATAATGCATTTTTGCATAGAAAAACAGAAAAATACATCATGACTTTCCTAACGATCTAATACTTCTTATTTTGTGATATTTCTCTTGTTAATTATTGTATTTTATTTTGTTTGTATTTTATTGATTTTTCTGTATTTTACTATTTTGTATTTTATTGTATTACTGAGTTGTCCCACCCCCACCTTCAGATCTAGAAGTACATCTGTCTGATAGAACTTTCTTCCCAGATGGAAATCTGTGGCCCGCTGTCCAGCGAGGGCACCGCCAGCCATGTGGGGCTGTTAGCAGCTGAAACGTGGCCAGCTGTCTGAAGAGCTCAAATTCTCTTCACTTGTAGTTTATTTAAAGAGCCGTGTGTGCCAGGGGCCACCGGTCGGCGGTGTGGCCGCAGTTCACTGAGGCATTGCCCTATTTCTACTGATGGGAATTGAGTCAAGCGCTGCCAGCATTTTGTCCAGATGTCTCCAGTGGGACCAGGTGTGCACTTTGTCTCTCCCCTTCTGCTGCCGTCAGGGTGCTCCTGGGGGCAGGGCCTGATCCATGTCCATCAGTGTCTGTAATCACTGTGCACACGTACGGCCACACTTCCTCATCTCAGGGTAAAACTCGGGACAAAGAGGGCCTCTCCTGTGTGTCTCCCATGTGCCACAGCTCTCCCCTGCTCTCCTGCACCCGGGGCAGCGTCCTGGGGCCACGCAGCTGGTGGCTGTGACTAAGACCGGCAAGCTGCTACAAGCAGCCTCCCACATGCCCCTCGTCCATGCTGTAGCTCCACTAACCACTTGGCCGAGTGAGGCCTTCTACCGTCTTTGTGGAGGCCTGGGCCAGCGAGGTAGAGAACCCTGAAACCAGTGTTGACAAACACAGCCAGATCCTGCCCTTCACGTGAGCACTGTAGGATGTTTTTGTGCATTCATGATAGAGGTGAGTGGTGACCACGAAGACCCTGGCCTGCAGAACCAAATGTATTTACTGTCTGGCCCTTTGCAGAAAGGACCTTGCCTACCCTGGTCTAGACAAGGAGCCTTGGGGCCTGTGCTTCGCTGAGGCCTTCCCTCTGCAGAGGGCACGTGGAGCCAAGGAGCAGGTGCATGTGGGGAGAGCAGCGCCTGAGCCCTGTACCTCTTGTTACCCTGAGCTAACCAACTGCTTTTCATCCGTGCCTAAAGTTGTTTCCCAGCCCAGGGTTCTGCGCAGTGTAGCCATGGCATTTAATAATAGTTATTTGAAGAAAAATGGTTTGCATTTCAAGAAAATTCTTGGAGTCTCCTCATGAAATTTCGTTTGTCATATTGAATAATAATTCAAATAATGAAATGAGAGAGTCATAAAACTACTGCAAACCGAAGAGCCCCACTTCATTATAGCTTTTCCAGGTGCTCATAAATGCCTTCTCTCTTACATGCTTTCTGGACTTACTTTCCTACGTTGGAACAGCAGTTGCCCAGATAAGGCTGGGCTTAGAGACAAACCTAATTAGTGAGCTGCCGAGTCCTTACTTTATGAGCATTCCCTACCTCGCTGAAAAACCCGAAGATTGGAAGTCTAGAGTGAATAGCAATATGGTGAGAATATTCAAATATGCACAAGGGAATCTGCAAACCGAGCCAATAAAACGATACAGCCTCAGCAGTAGAGCCGTGTGTGCCTGCTCGGGTTACCAGACGCTCGTGGGCCGTAGCAACCATCAGGCCGTGCCTCTGTTACTCAGTGGTCACCATGGAAATGTCTGGGAGTTGCCAAGTGTATGGACTTTGTTTCTCAACAGCTGAAAGACGATGCAGTTGCCTTGGTAGACGTGCTCGCTCCTCCTGACTTTGTCCTGGACTCCCCGATTGGCAGAGCGGATGGCGAGGTAAAGTGAGGCCTCACCTCTGTTACCAGATGAGAAGGCCCTTGGGCTGGAGCCACAGTCTGGGGGCTGCTCCGAAGCTGATGGGAGATTCTGCAGAGCCTGAGCAATGATGTGGTTCGGGAGTCTCGGATGCCTTCTGAGAAATCGTCGTACTGGGGAGAGCTCCCGGGGAGGGCAGATGCTGTGACCCTGAGTCTTCCCCGTGCTAGCTCCATGGTCTCCAGTGGCTTCCCTTCCCTGGCCTGTCTCCTTCATGAGTGGGGTGGCAGCACTGGCCACGCTCACAGGACCAAGGTGTGAGGCTGCACACGTCTGTGGGACGACCAGGCATGCAGCCCCCTGCCTGCCTGTGACATGCAGAGCCTCAGACTTAACACGGTGACTTCCTGAGTCTCTGGTGTCACCTCTGCTTTGATGGAGAGGGCCCCCCTGTGCCTCTGGCTCCCATGGTTAGAACCAGACCCAAGCAGAGGCATCGCCTGGCAGGATGGTTTATAAAATGCACGTTCCTCTCGGATTTGAGGAAGTAGTGTTCTAGCCAGGTGCTACCAGGTGCAAAATTAATTTTAAATGAATAAACACAGCTGTGAGGTCTATTTGTGACAACCATTAAGTGAAGCACAGAGCTTTGAGTTCTGAAATGTAACTGGAATTTATGACCGGTGAAGAAGCAGTGCTAGTCTGGGTTGCTCTGGGAGCCAAGAAAAGCACAGAGTTGGAGGAGCTGGTAAGTGTAGTTAGCAGCTATCAGCAGAGTGGTTTCCTCTTTAAAAAGAAATTAAAATTAATTTAATTTAATTTAATTATTATTTAATTTGACCAGAGAGAGAGTGAGAAAGCAAGCCGCCAGGTCTAGGGTGTGAACCGTGGTCAGCCATGTAGGAGTCCAATACCCTAACCATCATGCCACCTGCTAGCCTGCAGAGTGGCTTCTCAGAAGTAAAACAGGTTATGAGCCAGCAAGTGGAATAGTGTTTAAGGTGCTGGACTCCTCTGTGGTCAACCGTGGTTTGAGTCCCAGACCTGGTGGCCTGAAACATGCTGGGTACATGTGTGTTCATGCCCAAAATCCTGAGAGGAGAATGGAGGAGAAGGGATTGGGGTGTGGCTATCCTCCCTGGGGGGGCGGTGGGGGTGATTTCTTGCTTTCTGTCTCTCTTTCTCTCTGGTAAGTATATGCACCCAGTGGCAAAAATCTCTCCCAGAAAAAAAGAAAAAAACAGGTGCAAAACAGACCATTTTCCTGAGCTGCCAAGGACCAGCTGCTCAGAGTCGTGGGTGCCTTGCCTACCCCAGGCTCCTCTCAGCTCACACCCTGACCCTTCCTGCCTGGAGTGGGTGAGGTGTGGTTATCAGCCATGTTGGATTCTGATGCCCTTCCAAGAAAAAGGCTGCTGGCTCCATTTCCCCCACGAGGTGACAGGCTGAAAGCAGTTAGGTTTGGAGGAGCCTGCTAGCTGGGCTGCTGACCTAGGACAGGAAGAGAGAGGGACAATGAGTGCCCAGGCATGGTGGCCCAGGGAATTCAGACACCACCCTGCAAGGCCAGCCCGACAAGCTGTCAGTCTGAGGCTGGGCTGCGTCCTACCTGTGCCAGCTGGAGCCAAGTGGGCTACGAAGGGCAGCTTTCAGAGCAAACAGTGAATGCAGACTTGCAGAGCTCTGTGGTGGCTACACTTACTTTTTATTTACATTTTTTTAGAGGTTTTTACCCTAGGGCGTGTGAGCTTGCTTGAGAAAGAAAGACAGAGGGAAAGTGAGAAATCACCCCCTCGGGGTGGGAGGTGGCCACACCGCAATCCCTTTTTCTCCATTCTTGCTCCCTCTCCCCGGGATCTTAGACATGCACACACACATGCCCAGTGTGATTTTCAAGCCACCAGGGCCGGGACCCGAACTGCAGTTGAACATGTGGTAGTGCACATGTGGTAGTGCTATGCCATCTGCTAGCCCATGGCTATTCTTATTAAACACGATGTCCATCTTCTACAATAATTTCTGAAGAGAAGAGCGAGTGGGATGTTCTTCATCGTAATTGTATTTGATGGTACTTTATAACTGAATCTCCCTAATTGTTTTCTGCTAAAGAACAAAAAGTAAACACTTTATATAAATTAAGCTTAAATCGTCTTCACGTTTGTTTAAAACATGACAACAGAGAATTTCCTGTGTTTTTGACAAAACCTTGTAGAGGGGAGTAAGTAGCGTTTACACAGCCGTCTAAGGAAGCTCTTTCTATTAATCCCCCTTCGTTCATGTACGTTTTTATTTTTTGCAGCTTTATAAAAACCTCTGGACCTCTGTCCTTCAGGAAAGCAAAGTGCTGGAGAGGGCATCGTGGTGGCCAGAATTTTCCTGTAACAAACCTGTCATAGGAAGTTTGCAATCAAAGCTCTAACCCCACCAGCATGCATCCAGCTAAATCCAATGAAGCTAATGAAGCTAATTAAGACACGGACATCAGATTCCAGTCCCAGCAGACACCAGAACTTGCCGCTGCTCTCTGAACACGCACCTTTGACTTAAACCCGCTGTCTGTCCTCTCGTTTCCAAGGCAGACCTGGCGCACCCCAGGCAGAGGCCTCTAGTCCTATCCAGGGGGTCGACACCTGACTTGCAAGGTTATTCTGGGATCACGGTGGTTTGCTGTGTGAAAAGGAAACATGCCATCGCGTCTTCCCGATGAACTGGAGGATTTTAGATAATTAGAGCTTTACACCTTCTCTTGTATTGTCAGGTATAGATACGGATTACAAAGTATATCTTTCATCATTAGAGACTTCCTGGTCAGACGATCTATTGAATTCATCCTGAGATTTTTTTTACAAAGCTCTTTCACTATGGAATTAATAATGTCAGTCTGGTTCTTTGTTAATGCTGTTTGACTTTATCATGTAATTAAATTATGACCTTATTAATTTGCACACACATCATCTGAGTGACATGGTTTAAGATTTTTAAGGGGGGAAAATCTGTTTTACTGCTCTTAAGTTTCCATTGAAGAACTGTTTCCAAAGGAATAAAAACACCTAATGATTTGAATATCTGAACAATTTAGTCCCCAGCCTCTTGGTTGTGTACAAGTTACTTTATATGCAAAGTGCCTGAGGAGTTTGTCCAAAGTGAAATGCCCAGTGCTGTCTGTCCCCACCCAGTGTTTGTTCAGTGCCTGACTCTGTTTTGGAGGTTCTAACAGTTCGTTTTTAGTAAACGGAAATTTATTAGCTCCTGATTCTGCTGCTTGCTGCAACATCCCCTAGGAGAATGTGGAAGGGCAAGAGGGGCTGGGGAGAGAAGGTCGGCGGAGAGGGAGACAGAGGAGAGGAGACCAAACTTGTCCTTTGATCAGGAATCCTATAACGGCATCAGTTCACCCACGAAGACTGAGCCCTCGTGAATGAATCACCTTTTAAAGATCCCACCTTCCAAACAGTTGCATGAAGGATTAAGTTCTCAACATAGAACGTTTTTATTGCGGGGGGTGGGGGGGGTTCGTTCACAGCACTCAGCTGACACCCACACACACCTGCTCCTGCCACGCTGGCCACAGTCTGATGAAGTCAAGCTGGGGACATCAGCGAGTCTCCGTCCTGTTGCTCATGCTGCTCCGTCAGGACGACGGTCAGGTGGTTGGTTTGTTCTTATCCTCTGGGCCCCATGTCAGTTTTTCAGTTTTGCCTTGGCCACTGGGTTATACTTCTTGTTTGTTTGGGTTTTTTTTTCTTTCTTTTTTTTGTTTTTAGAGAGAGATTTTTACTATAAGGTGTGTGCACTCACTGGAGAAACAGAGACAGACAGAAATCGAGAAATCCCCCAGAGAGGATAGCCATACTGCAGTCCTTTCTCCTCCATTCTCTTCCTGGGATTTTGGGCATGCACACGCACGCACTTGGTGTGAGTTCAAGCCACCTGTCCAGGACTCGAACTGTGGTCAACTACATGGGAGTCCAGCAACGGAATCATTATGCCATCTGCTGGTCCTGGGTCATGCTTCTTTACCTTCAATCTGCCCAAAGACACAGGGCGTTTGTCATCTGCAATCGGGAATCAAGTCTGCCAGGTGTCTTCGTTGTCTCTGTGGCTGTTGATGCCCTCTGTCACCTCAGGCAGCCTGTCGCTGTAGGTGCCCTCTGTCACCATGACTCAGTAAACAGACCTGTCAGGCTGGTTCAGGGTGGTACTGAACCAAGGAAGACCTGTTGTTATTTTTCAAAATAGCCCAGGGAACTTCTGAGCGCCTGAAGGGTGTGGTCAAGAGTCTGTTTTTATAAAATGAATTTCCAGCTCTAGAAATTACTTCACTTCTCAGACCTCAGTTTTCATGCCTAGAAAAGGGGAAGCCCCTTCCTCACCTCCTTTGCAGAGCTCTGGGGGCACCCTGGCTACAGGGGCTTCTCTAGTGAGAACTGACTGCGTGTTGGCGCTGTTGGCCACTTCGTGTTCGCTGTCTCGTTGGACCCCTGACCACTGTGTGACGTCAGTTGTGCTGCCAGGTGCTTTACAGGTGAGGAATTGGCCTGAGAGACAACTGGCCAGGAGGTGACCAAGCTGGGCCAGGCGGGCCCGTGTGCAAGATCCCCTTGATATCCAAGGGTCCCCTGCACAGGCTGGCATGCAGTGGGTGGCCGCTGGTGTCTCTTGCTAAATATTAGGTTATTGGGCAAGTCATGACGTACAACGTTCTTCTATGCAAAGATGCTTCAGGACTTTCCTGACGACCCAATATTTTAATTAGGGAGCAACCATACCTGCATTTAACATGTCTCTGGTTTGGTGACTTCCTTAGGTTTAAACTCTTCCTATTTCTGAAGGACGTGTTGTTCACTCTACCCTTCTTTTCCTACTTTCAGAGAGACTAGGGAGGAAATAAAGTACTCCAGACCCTCATCCATTCAGATGGTTCAGTTCTGAGTGCAACCCACGTGATCAGTAAGAGGTGCCTCATGGCTGTCATTGCAGGTCTCAGGAGTCCCCCCGGGCCCCGCCACTCTGCCTGGGGTTCCCAGTCCAAGAGAGAGCTGGGATCATGCAGAGTTCTACTGGTGTTCCTGTTGTAGGACGCCGTGGGGCTGTGTGTTTGCAGACAGGGGCTCTTTGCCTCTATCTGTAGCTTTTCTAAACAATGAGCTGTCCCTGCTGCTGGCTCTTGGAGGTGGTGGGGTCACAGTGCGTGCATATTTGGCCCGTTCTATTGTTTGGGAGCTTGGTTTCTCATCTAGTGTTTGGTCCAAAATGACCTGTTTTCCCAACAATAGGTCATAGGTGTTGTCCAAGATCAAGAGTGTTGGAGCCAGCCTCAGAGCCTCGTGGCTAAGGGAACCAGATTTCACATGGCCCACTCCAGTCTGAATCTTGGCCATGGCAGATGGAAAACATGCTAGGCTTATCCATGTGTGTGCCCCAAATCCCAACAGGGCGAAGAAATGGAGAAGTGATTGCAGTGTGACCACACACTGTAGGGGTGCTTTCTCCCCATCTCTCTCTCTCTCTCTCTCTCTCTGGCAAGTGCACATGCCTCTGGCAATAACAAATGAAAGAGTATGTTTGTTGCATCTAGAAAAATAAATGCATTTAAATATGAGTTTCAGATATGCCAGAGTCCTTTGATTCGGTCGTGCTTTGTGCTGCATGGCCACTGATGTCCCTGTGCTGTTTTCATATCCAACTATTAGGGATGTCTTCATCCTTAAGGTGGGGGAGCTGGCCCACCTTCCAGGCAGGATTTGGTTGGCATACCTGTTAATGAGCATGAAGCATAGCCCATGAGCTGCAGGGACCTGTGTATGTGCCCCCTCACAGTCCATGTTCACGAGGCCGTCTGGACACTCAACCCCAGTTCTGAAGGCAGAACTTGCCTGCAGGGGCAAGAGGGTTAAGTTGTGAGGTAACATTATAGAAATTAACCTTTCAAGTAAAGGTCATTTTGAACATAGACCATTTGAAAACACCATGTAGTAAAACCTTGAATAATTGGAATACAGCTTTATAATTTGAACTCATTGCTTTCTACCACTCTTTTTCTGATTATAAAACTAACACGTATCTGTTAGGTACTATTTTGGCAATATAGAAACATTCAAAAAAGAAAACAGATGTCTCTTGTAAACTCACACTCAGAAGCAGTAACTGTTTATATTACACGTTCTTACTTTTAGGGCTCAGAGCACAGAGTTAGATTCATTGTAATCCCTAGTTCATGGCAGTTTGTCTCCATCCAGCACCAGGGCCAGAACATCCAGGGCTGGCTGGCCCCATCCAGCACCAGGGCCAGAACATCCAGGGTGACTGGTACCTGCCATGCGGTTCCCACCACCATCCCACCAGCATCCCCTGCCAGCAGGGCCTGCCTCGCATTGGCTCTGTGTAGAGTATTTTAATTTTTTTTTTTTTGGAGAGGTTTTTGCTATAGGGCGCGTGCGGTCACCAGAAAGACAGAGAGAGACAGAGAGACAGAAAGCGAGAAATCAGCCCCCAGGGGGGATGGTCATGCCGCAATCCCTTCTCCTCCATTCTCCTCTCGGGATCTTGGGCACGCACGCACACGCACCAGGCGTGAGTTTTAAGCCACCGGGTCGGGGATGCGAACCATGGTCGACTACATGGGAGGCCAGCAACATAGCCATTATGCTAACTGCTGGTTCCTGCTCTGTGTAGAGTTTAATCTCATCTACTGGTAATGTGTGCACACATCCTTCCAAAGTTTAAAAACTATTTTGTTCGTTTATAAACTATTTTAACATAGAATAGTAAACTGTTGGCATATACATTGTAAATGGTTTTTCTTCATGTCATTTGTCTTTCTTAAAAAATACAAATTTATTCTATGAGATGGAGACATAGCATTTCCAGCAGGGTTGTGACACGGCAATCTTCCCCCCGGCTTCAGCCAGCCCAGGTCATCAGCACATGCATGCCTGGCATACTGAGGGAGGTCTTTGGACTTGATCCACAACCTTTCCACATGGTTATCTTTGCAGAGCATCACCTTTTGCCACAGTGCCACCATTGGACCCTCATTTGTCTTTTAATTGTATTAATTTTTAAAAATTTAACATGGCAAAATTTAAAATTTTAAATCAGAAATATATATACATCTAAAAGTTAGAAATAATTTATGCTCCAACCTTTGAGATCATGCTTGGGAAGTCCTCTCCTTCCAAGATCACATTTTTATCTGTGTTCCTTTGAGTAGATTTCAGTGTTTAACTGACTCAGAATTTATCTTGAGGTTTGGTGTGAGGTAGGGATCTAACATAACTAATTCACTGACCTGAAATGTCACCTGCATTGAATGCCAGAATCATGTATGTTTGGGGGCCTATTTCTGCACTTTTCTATCTTACTGTCTTTTCTCGTATCAGATTATGTTTTTATTATTGTGATTCTCATACTTTTAATACCTATTGGAGCAAATAAAGTCTCATCTTTTCCTGAAATTTCTTAGCTGCATGAACTTTGGTTTTATTTTATTAAGTCTGGACATTCTCTGACCCCCCAAATGAAAGGTCTTCATTTGAAAATTGTCTTTCACTTATCAATTAACATCAGGAGAATTTATATTGCTCTAAGTTTATGTATTTCTTCAATGAGAGTGAGGGAGACACGAGCACCCTCAATAGGATTTCACACTGCAATCTCTCCCAGCCCTTCCAGCCAGCCAGGATCATATGCACATATGTCCAACCTGTCCAGGCCATCCAGGGAACAAAACCTATAATCTTCCATTTGGATCGAGCATCATTTGAACAGTGCGTTACTCCTGCACCATGAGCTAGCCCAGAATGTATATCTTTATAAGAAGTAGTATTCCCATCTAAAATTCTTTCTTTTTCTTTCTTTCTTTTTTTTTTTTTAATTTGCCAAAGGGTATGTGCATGAGACAGAGAGAGGAAGAAGGAAGTGGGGAGAGGGAAAACGGAGAATCTTTTCTCCATTTCTCTTTTTAGGATTTTGAGCACACACACACACGTACTCAGCATGTTTCTTAAGTTGCTAGTATGGGACTTGAATTGCAGTCAGCCATGTGTAATCTAACTTCCTTAACCACCAC